TGTATATTTCTATATTGTAAATGACTTAACGCGTTTTTAATCTTAAAATAAGACTTAATATTATAAAAAAAAAATATTTCGTCACAAAGCAATGCGATCGCCGAATTTCGCAAGAAACAAGTGACATGGTTAACAGTGACAAGTATAGTGTTACCACATACTTATATACAAAAAAAGGAGCTTATTCTTTAACTCTAAAACTTGCGATGCCGCGAATTAGCTAGGGGCAATACTTCACTGTTAAACAATTATATTTCAGATCAACGTGAAATAAAATGGGGTATAACAATCATATTATGTTATATCCATGGTACTGCTCATGTCTATAGGCGACGGTTACCACTTTCCATCATGTGGGCCGTCAGCTTGTTTGCCATTCTAAGTTGTATAAAAAAAAATCTCTATACAGTTTTTTTTTTTTTTTTTATTTGTGTCTCGATCGTAACAGTAACTGTTATACGTCATCATATCATTTTAACTTTCCAGTGCAAATCTCACGTTAATTTTATTCTCATAACAACACTGTTTGGGACTAAAACAAAAAGTCGGCTCGGGTCTTTAGATACTGTGAGCTATTATTATTCTTTGTTTTAGACAAGTAACAAAAAGTAATTTCAATTGCGTATTGTTGTTATATTTCATAATATTTCTTACAGTGCAATTTGCCAAAACCTTTGTTAATTTAAAAGTAGAAACCGAACAATATGCAAATTTTCATTGTCTTCGACTTTGGTGATATCTGTTTAACGAAACTGCAAACTCTGTAAATACAAAAGAAAAGGGTTGAATAGTATAGTCCCGTAATATTTGGAAGTAACGGTATAAGTAACGGTAGAAACGCATCAAACCAAATTTCGTTTTGAGGATATAAACATTAACATCAGTAAAAATAGTAACAATGTAAAATCTAAACGTCTGGAATAAAGTATGTAGGTACTGTTTACCTGCAAATATCTTTAAATGCGTTAAGTACCGACAGCATATTTAAAATATGTGTAAACAACACCAAAGTTTAAAAATTAACTGTTGTAAAATCTATTGAATATATGGATCTACTTGTGATACATGGCTAGGAAGAACTAGCCATACATTTCCAACTCGTTTAGACGAATATATTGATCATAGTTTTGTCAAATCAAATGCACAAATAATAACTGTAATTAGTCTCTATTTTGCGAACTATAACAATAAATGGTATTATTTATTTATTTAATTAATGATTTATTGTAGTTACACTAGTTATAAGAGTATGACAGAGGTAATCAAAAGTACAAAGGCGACATCTTAGCTTAAAAACTAACCAAGATATGAATATGATAACACCAGAAAACACTTATGTTTTCGATGTTTACCTGTCTTATTCAAATTACCTTTTGACCTAGCCTTTATACAACTTTGTAGATTAGAATTATATATAATTACTAATTGTAATATATAACAATCTCGATTAAAAAATCAATATTTTTTTAGATATGGACTTTTTTATACGTACCTATATACGCTACGCGCTCAATTAAGTTATCAAAATATTACCTAAAGCAAATTGACACGGCAATAACTTTTATAGTTTACTGCCGGTTTAATGATCTACATATAGTTTGATAGTAATTTTCAATGACTATTAAACATTATAACCGAATAAAGTTAAAAAAAATATTAAAGATAATTTTAGGAAAATCATTGAGTCAAAATTCGTTAAGTCTATATTACCTGACAAAATAGAACAAAATCTTCGTTTTACTTATGATTTTGTACTCGTATGTTATTCAACAGAGAAGCTTAAATTGATCAGAACATACGAAATTAACATCAGAAATGTGATGGTGGAAATATATACCAATATATTGCTTGTATTAGGTGCTGTTAGCGTATATTAAATGAACATTCATTGCAATGTTAAATAGGTTTTTTTAGTTAATGTAATAAAAAAATGCATTAATGATTTTATGAACATATATGTATTAATATTGTTATAAACTATATTATATCCCCATTGGTAGTTTTTTTAATGAGTGAAGTGAAGGGTCACCATTGAAGGATGATAGGTGAGGATGAAGCGGGTTAGTTAGCCCATTGTGATGAATTCAACAAGAACCGTTCACGATGGTTTTCAGGGGGAACCACATGGAGGCTGACGCAATAGGGCACATTACTAGCAATGGGGCTGTTAAACTCCATTGTTAACAATCCCTTCCCCCTCCCATTGGTAGTAACACACCCTAATTTCCCTTTTCATCCTCACTTATCATCCCTTACTATTACACCTACCAGCGTGTACCGTTAGCGCTGGCGGGGTTACCATTCCATTATCATCCGTTAAAAAAAAACGTCAATATATTTAATCAGACAGTAAAATGTATACCTACACTATCTGGCGAAATTAATCCGTTGGAGATAGCTTATATATTTATTTATTTATTTTATCATCTTTCATAAAAAGTATGATCATCTCTACACTCTTTCCTTTCAAAATTTGCATTCTATTTTTAATCGCTTGGTAGCATCCATATGAGCTGAAATTGGGTAGGTATACTTATATATGTTCAATATTTTTGTACCTACCATGGAGATGATCTGAAGAATCAATTCGTGGTTTTTCGAATTTTCGTTTGTCTTATTAAAAACTATAAACCTGTATGATGACTACAATATAATGACGAAACTTTAAAAAATGAATTTATCAAACTTTTTATGTTTTATTTAGAATTTCTAATTAAAATGTATCACGTTGTCTGACAATGATAACTATTTGTACAGGATTACATACGATTATCACTAACACATTGATTCACTAGAATGGTTAGTGTATTAATCGTACAGTATTTTTAAACCAACCAACTTAAAAGGAGGTTTTATATATTTTGATGTATGTTCATCGATTTCTCCATCAATTGTGGGCCGATTTTATATTTATATTCCTGAAATTGTCCAATTCATTCAGGGTGACGAAAGCAACCCTCAAAGTTTATAAGCACGTATAATGTGTTCATATTATACGTGCCTATAAACTTTAAGGTCTCCGTACCAAAAAGGTATAAATGAGCCCTTATGGTGCGACTTTAACCGTTCGCCCGTCCGTCCGTCTATTACAACGCCGTATCTTAGTAACTACTAACGCTATCGATTTAAAATTTGAAATAGTTTTACATATTGTTGGCACGTACATATTATACAATAAAAGATGGCGTAGTTCATTCTATTAGAATTTAGTCGAACTTGATTTGCTATGTATAAAAAAAATGTTTGTACTGAAAACGTCGGTCTTCGTAGTGATAAAACGTCATTAGCTTTTTCATATATTTTTTTTATTCAACAGAAAGTTATCCTTTGTTTGTAGAAGCTTATAAAGAATACACTCGATCAGTATGCACGTGTAAAAAAATGGTTTAAATTTACGAGTAAAATTCAATAGTAATAATGATTAATAATTAATGATTTTGATTTCGACGACAAGGAACATGAAAAGCCACCAGAAAACTTTCAGGATATGTAGTTGGAAACATGACTTATGGAAGACGCATGTCAAACAGTAAGAGAATGATCAGCAGCCTTCAATATTACACAACAATGTATATTATTACGTCTGAGTGCAGTGGTAAGGATATGGTACAAAAGAAATGAAACTTAATACCGTACCAACTGAAAGAAAAAGACATTGAAAGGGAGATTTCTGCAATAAATATATTTATTTATTCATTAGTACATCACGGACTTAATGCTAAAAGGACTCCCCAGTCAACCATAGGGAAGTGTCAGAATACTCGAATGCGGTACTATAATTATATATACTAAAATTACATATATATATATATATATATATATATATATATATATATATATATATATATATATATATATATATATATATATATATATATATATATATATATATATATATATATATATATATATATATATACATACACACACACACACACACACGCACGCACGCAAGCACGCACGCACAAGCACGCACGCACGCAGTCGCACGCACGCACGCACGCACGCACCAGACATATAAACACATATATAGCATATAAACGCCTACACAAATACATAAATATATATATATACTCGTATATATTGTTCTCAAATAAAAGTCCAGACATATAAACATTATTTGTTTTAAAACTAGCCAGTGAATATATATTTTCAATAATTAATCACAATGAGTGACAATGAGTTTGAAATAAAGGGATAAAATCTATAGCAAAAACATACATTACATTTAGCTTTACAAAAGAGTCCGCGAAACCAAATATGTATCTATGTTTTGTATTTCAGCAAAAAAAATGGTTTTTACGTTAAAAGTAAAATACATATTACAAAAATAAGTTTAGATATAGATTTGACATACCTATACATTATACATAAAAACAAGTAAATAAATTAAAATGTAAATTTCATGAAGATAAAGTTTATTTTTTACAGTATTTTCATTGATGCAGTTGATCAGATGAGAATGCGAAATAAAATCAATAAGCCCATAAAATTATTGCATTATCGCAGGCGCTACTGAGAATAGGAGGCCATGCGAGAATAGTAGACGAGGCACGGAGGTGAAGGGCGCAGAAGGAACTATATAAACACGCGCACATGAAAATTGCTGAATAGGCTGTTCATTTTAAAATATAAGAGAATATTGGTGCAGTACTTTTACACATGCCAAAATACCAGCCTTACTAAAATATGTTGAACAGTTTAACAGTTACACAAACAAATATTGTACTCGTGCCAAACCGGGGCGGGTCGCTAGTCTTTACATACAGTTATATTGTTTTTCAAAAACACTGATAAAAAACAACATTTTGTAGTACAATTATTTTTTTTGTATTTATATTATTATTATTTTTTTTTTTATTATTTTATAACAAATCCTTAAAGCTACTAATTACACAATTATATCACGTCCTTAAGGATTATATTTTTAATTAGTTATGTAAATTTTGTTGCACGAAGATATCACACTTAAAATACACAAATTCTTCACTTCACAAAAATTAAAAATTGACGCTACGTGATCGTTCAAGACAATTCTTGCAAGGATTAGTAGCCAGCATCGCCTTCATTTCTGCAACCTTCTTCTTCAAATAAGTTACTTTTAGTGACAAACGAAGTTCCCGCATTTTTCTTCTATCTCTGCTCTGTTTTGCAGCTAAATTGTTTCTTTGCCGCTGTATACGATATGCTTCGTCGGCTGCTTCATTTGTCTGAACAGTTCTTTTCATTTTAGGGTTTTGCCCTATCAGCATTCCACCATTTCTTTCCGCCATTACTCTGAGGGCGTCTTTTTCAAATTCTATGTATTCTGGATCATCTGACAATAACTCCGAGTCGCATCTTCGTAGTTCTAGTAATTCTGGCGATGTTGACACAGAATTCGTTGATATGTGAGAATAGTCCACTAAATAATAACTATGTCCAGTTTGTTTCCTTGGAACAACATGTTGCACTACGGGAACAGGATCAGGAAAACGATACCCCTTGCACGCAAAATCCATGTGATTAAATGATGTGGCATCAGTGGAAGATGGTTTTTCTAACACTGCCGGAATTATTTCATTATTTCTCGTTTTACTCAAATCAAGAGGACAGTCTTCAATATATGGTGTCCACAGCGCCATGTCGAAATTATTGCTTAAAAGAAGTATGGTGTAAAATAGATACTCCAACTGTAAGCGTTGAACTACGACTAATGACCGTATTTTATGCCCCAGTATCCCGTCTTTTACAGTAGGCGGGGTTTGTTAAGAATATGGAAGGGGAACATTATTCCGGGGCGACGAAATACAAAAAGGGTGTAGGTACCTGTTATCTTCCAGTCAAAAACATTTACGATGATGTTTGTCAAGTGTTTATTATACCTACATATATATAAATTAAAAAATATTTTACTCTTATAAAATTTGTAAGGAATGATAGAGCGAATTAAACATTGATTTTCTTATCGTGTGTAAGTACCATGTAATAAAATTATGAAACAAATTATTAAATCAACTTTTAAAAACTTTTGTAACTTTAGACTCTTTTTAGAATTCTATTTCGCTATTATTTAAACTTCTTATTTAAATTTATTTCTCTGCTGTATATTTTTTCAGAAGTTAAAGATTTATTATGGCATATATTATTAATATGGTGTTGTTTTATTTAAACTATTTTATTAATTTATAACAAGTGAAATCAGAAACCGCAGGAGAACATTTTATTTTAAAGAGTGAGCAACACAGATTAAATAGAATATGTCAAAAGTCTTGAACAACTATTAATCTATGTTAAACGTCAGAACAAAATAGTAGGCGGCAAATTTAAATATTACAACATATGGCTTTATCCCTTACCTTTAATTATAAATTTTATGTAGCTATAATAAACAGTTAATAAACATCATCGTAAACGTTTTTGACTGGAAGATAACAGGTACCTCCACCCTTCTTGTATTTCATCGCCCCGGAATAAAATTCCCCTTCCATATTCTTAACAAACCCTGCCTACTATCAAGGATGGGATACTGGGGCATACAATACGTTCTTTAGTCGTTATTCAACACTTTCGGTAGTAGAACCTTACTTTACACCTTACTTCTTTTGAACAATAATTTCGACATGGCGCTGTGGACACCATATATTCAAGAATGTGCTCTTGATTTGAGCAAAACGAGAATTAATGAAATAATTCCGGCAGCATTAGAAAGTCCATGTTCCCTAGTCTCACATCACCTAATTACATGAATTTTGCGAGTAAAGGGTATACTGCTCTCGTAGTGCAACATGTTGTTCCAAGGAACCAAACTGGATATGATGAATATTCAGGAAGCTATTCTCACATACCGGCGAATTCAGCGTCGACATCGCCAGAATTACTAGAACTACAGGAATGCGAACCGGGGTCATTGTCAGATGATCCAGAATACACAGAATTTGAAAAAGACGCCCTCAGAGTAATTGCGGAAAGAAATGGTGGAATGCTGATAGGGCATAACCCTAAAATGAAAAGAACTATTCAAACAAATGAAGCAGCCGATGAAGCATATCGTATACAGCGACAACGAAACAATTTTGCAGCGAAACAGAGCAGAGATAGAAGAAAAATGCGAGAACTTCGTTTGTCACTACAAACAACTTATTTGAAGAAGAAGGTCACGGAATTGAATGCGATGCTGGCTACTAATCTTTGCAAGAATTGTCTTGAACTATCACGTAGCGTCAATTTTTAATTATTGTGAAGTGAAGAATTTATGTATTTTAAGTGCGATATCTTCATGTAACAAAATTTAAATAATTAATTAAAAATATAATTCTTAAGGACGTGATATAATTGTGAAATTAGTAGCTTTAATGATTTGTTATAAAATAAATATTAATAATTTAAATACAAAAAAAATTGTGCTACAAAATGTTTTATTACCAATGATTTTGAAAAACAATATAAACTGACTGATAATTTAAACTCGTAATTGTCCAGATTATAGTATAAGCAGACAATATATTCAATTTCTAATATTTCTGCGATATTTTTATAGCTGTATGTAAAGACTAGCGACCCGCCCCGGTTTGGCACGAGTGCAACATTTGTTTGTGTAACTGTTAAACTGTTCCACATATTTTAGTAAGGCTGGTATTTTGGCATGTGTAAAAGTACTGCACCAATATTCTCTAATATTTTAAAATGAACAGCCTATTCTGCAATTTTCATGTGCGCGTGTTTATATAGTTCCTCCTGCGCCCTTCACCTCCGTGCCTCGTCTACTATTCTCGCATGGCCTCCTATTCTCACTAGCGCCTGCGATAACGCAATAATTTTATGGGCTTATTGTTTTTATTTCGCATTCTCATCTAATCAACTACATCAATGAAAATACTTTTAAAAATAAACTTTATCTTCATGAAATTTCCATTTTGATTTACCTAGGTATTTGTTATGTGTAAAGTATACGTCAAACCTGCACTAAACTTATTCTTGAAGTACATATGTATTTCACTTTTAACGTAAAAGACATTTTTGGCTAAAATACAAAACATAGATATTTGGTTTCGCGGACTCTTTTGTAAAGCTAAATGTAATGTATATTTTTGCTATAGATTTTATCCCTTTATTTCAAAATGTTCAGACACGCCATATAGAATTTCTGCCGACTTCAATCACACTCGTGATTAATTATTGAAAATATATATTTACTGAATTAAAAAGTAACCTATAGCACTCGGGGATAATATACCCTTATTTTATATCGGATCAGTAGTATCGGAGGTGATCCTGAAAATCCAAACTCACATATATTTAGAGCAGAAAAAGTTTTTCTTCCTTTTAATATCTTTTTCTTTCAGTTGATACAGTACCCAATTTCCTTTCTTTTGTACCATATCCACTGCACTCAGACGTAATAATATATATTGTTGTGTAATATTGAAGGCTGCTGTTCATTCTCTTTCAGGTACTCTTAAATTTTACTTGTAAATTTTAACCATTTTTTACACGTGCATAGTGACGGCGTGTATTCTTTGTAACCTTCTACTTATAAAGGATAACTTTCCGCTAAATTAAAAAAAAATGAAGAAGCTTAACATTGCGGGAAGGAAATAAGATTTTACCAGTACGTTTTTTTTACACTCAAGCTAAACGTTTATTATTACGTGTTCTAGATTATGCTTACCAAAGCATTCTATACATTGGAAATCAAGTTCGACATAATTCTAATAGAATTAACTACACCATTTGTTAAAAATCTATAAAGTTATACTTGTGTACCTAATAATACAAACAAATAATAGTGTGATATTATATTGCAGTCATAAAACCGAAATCAAAATGAGTCTTGTATTTTTCATAACATGTTCTGTTTATGCTGACAAAAAGTCACGTATAAAAACTAGTAAATAATGTTTGTTAGCGATATATTTCACCGTCAAATGGGTATATAAGATGATATATGCGAATAAATAGGTATTGTCATCTATGTTTTAAATCTGCTTTTTATAATATGTAATAATAAATCTTATAATAAATATCGCTTGCTTCAACGCACATCATTCTTAGTTATGGTGTAGCTCTAGAAAATCTAGTTACAATACATATTTAGCACTGTAACGTACCCTTTAGAATTTTTTGCGAAACCCCTTTCCTGTAGACCGCGATTATTGTTCTTGAGAATTAAAGAAGGGCAACAAAAAATATTTGTAACATGACACCCCTGTCTCCAGTCTACGAATACCGTTATTCGCACTTTTCTGCGTGTCAATTTCAACTCACATATACCATGTTTACAAATATTTTTAGCTTAATTATATATATTTTTACTTTTAAATAGTAATTCTCGATTAATATTGTAAATGTGAAAGTGAATTTGTCTATTATTATTCAGTATACAATATTATATATTTCCTGTATATTTGCTTAACTGCGTAACGTTTTCGCTCACATTTATTCTTTTTTTTTTTTGCGCCGAATAATTATTACTATAATACTCTAGGCTCCGAGCAGTGATCTATTATTTTAAATTTGTCTAAAGATGCCTCGGGTAGGTATGAAATTAAATTTAATACATTTCTTTTTGTTTATTCTCCAGATTCGTACTCCTTTTTAAGTCGCGGTAGTATCTAGTGTATCACTGAGCTACGATGCTCACAAATTTAATTCTTGAACGTTGTACTTATCTTACTACTACATAATATTCTAAGATTAGAATCAATATTATAAGTTGTATAGAAAATTCGTAAACTTTCATAGATATCTAAGATACAAACAAATATGAATAGAAAGAGGTTACTTCGCATACGCAGTAGGTAGTTGCGACTTTTTTCAATCTACTGATAAAGTTATGGTAACTATTATTACACAACACTATTACTACAAGATATTTTCGCACAAATATGATTAATTTATTTATTTGTTACCATATCTTTACAGGATATATCCCAATTTGACAAGTTACAACAAATAACATCGGTTTAGATTTTATAATAACAAATAGTAAACATGGAATGTTTACTATTTGTTTGCCCTTGAGAGTTTTGTCAAAAAACTTATAAAAAGAGCAATAACTCTATCCGAAATATTATTTAATATGTCCTGCAAATAGTCATAGCGAAGCTAAAGCATTTCTGAGAACAAACAATACCTACACCCGTAGCTTCAACTCTTTTCCATTGTCGCCCTGTATATTAGTTTCTATTAAATATTCCTTTGTAACAAGAGATACTTACAAAGAGAAAATATTTTGCATCTGTGTCCGTCGTCTGCGGACAATGCCCACTATTAACAGATTATAACTCGCAAAAAGAGCAGGTATGGTTGCTTGTCATAAACGCATAAGGCATAAGCGGTTAGAATCCGCTTGCTTGCCACCTTTGTGGTATAAAAAAAAAACGCTATAAAAATTATGTAATTAAAACATTAGCTAACAAATATTACCTACTAAAGTTTCATAACTATTTCGTTAGTTTGCAAAACAATAATAAATGTTTAGTAAAAAATAATAATCATTTCCCTCAAAAAACAAACACGTCTGTTTTATTAACAAGACAGTACTACAGATTAGTCAATAGTACAAGATGATATCGAAAGTTACTAAATTTAACATCCAAATTAAATCTTAAGTAAGGAATAAAATGGGAATAAGATATTTCGATTAGAAAGAAAAAATATTTAAAGAGATCCATACGAAAAATATATAGTGGATTTGAAAACTTTGAAGTCGGTTGAAAAGAAATCTAAACTGTACAATTACATCCATCTGTTATATTTTGTATTAATTACAGAAATAATAAGTTAATTAGATACAAAAAAAGTCTAGGTGCATTTTTAATTGATGTTTTATATATAATCTTCCTCCTTTATCGCTCCCAAACTGTCTCCTCTGCCTTCTCGTCAGAGTATTGGATTGACCGTGCACCGCGCAAAATGTACGAGTATGTACGTGATGTTTTCCAAAAATTACAGAGTTAAAAACTACGTTGTATTTGTCGTTTTAGATGTGAAATACAATAAAGAACTAAAGGTGTTACTGAAATTATTTGAAGTATGTTATATTTTAACATTTTATCATTTATTAATATATTGGTATTAAAATAACTTTAAATTGTATTATGTATGCATTTCACTTTTGATTTATCTCTGCTATCTCACAATGATATAATGCACTTTTAAATGAGTGACAGATGGGATTGTGCTAATCAAAAAGACATTAGAAAATTTTTAAATATAATAAATCACCCATAAGACAAAACTATAATAGAAACTTTCATATGTATTAAATGTTTTTTTTTTTAATTGTACCGTTAATTTTTTGTTAGTAATGTGGGCTACCAGTCCCATTGCTAGCAATATACTCTATCAGGTCGACCTCCACGTGGTCATCCCTGGAAACCATCGTGCTGAATTCCAAATGTAATCATCACGATGGGCTGACCTGCCTTTTCATTCTCATCTATCGTCCCTTACTGGAGCCCCGCCAGCGTATACCGGTAGCACAGGCGCGGTTACCAATCCATTATCACTTATTAAAAAAAAGTTGGTGTTATTTACTCGTAGGTAGACATACAAAATAAAAAAGCTGAGTATTATGAAAGAGTCATTTATAATATTAGTAAGGTGATAAAGAACAGGATAGAAACTACTACTAAGCCTAAATAGGCGTGATAGTATTTCAAATTTTGTTAATTCATACAAATTTAGAAGAAAATATATACAAAAAAAATATTTTGTTCTTAAATTAATTTTAGTTATTTTTTGTGTTTTTTTTTTACTTAACATCTAAGTATTATAATACATTTTTAAAGTTTACCACTTAGTTTCGCGGCTGCATAAATAGGTAGGTCGGTATTATAAAAAATATTCATATTTATTGATTAGTGGACCTAATATATAACCCACTTACTAAATATGAGTAAGTATTGAGGAGTAATTAAAAATTAATATTAAATATAAAATTAGGCAAATCAATCCAATCCTCTGAAGCAAAGATAAGGGTGAAAAGAGTAGAAGATATAAGGCACTAGAGATATATTATATAAAATACACCTACAAAATTTAATTTAATTATTATTGTAATAAAAAACAATTAAGGTACTTGGGTCCAATATGGCCACCTTAAGGTTTGTTATCCTTCTCTTGTGGTAATAAAGATAAAACAAAAATAAATTTTAGCATTCATTCATGAAGAATGGCTATTTATCTTTACAACAAAGGCAAAAAATACAAAGACTTAATGATTAATAA